TGCCGGAAGGACGGGACCACCATAGGCATCTTCACCATTGCTGTGGTCTGCAGCATCGTCCTTACCTCGCTGGTGTGGGTGTGCATCATCTACCAGACCAGGAAGAAGAGCGAGGAGTACAGCGTCACTAACACAGGTCAGCAGTGTGGCAGGCTGTTCAGGGGCAGTGGACATAGTGAGGGCTGCAGTCCGGCACGGTGACGCCAGGCTTGAGCTTTTGACTGGAACTTAGGTTTCTAGAATCTTTAGGAATAAGATTCTGTCTGTAGAGTTGAGGCCTTGAGCCCCCAACAACATGTTAACGCTGAGGGACATAACAGGAAATGGGAACACTCTCAAATTCAAGCACCTGCTGGGCCCTGCAGTTTCTGGTCTCCATGGTGATTCAGAGGCACCAAGCCCTGCCTGTTGTCATGAATCAGATTGTTCCCAAGCTCTCAGTCTTGTGATTTTGTTAGGCCCCCCATCTTTGTGGACTCAGGTATCTGACTGCTGTGATTTTTACAGCAGGATGGAAAGGAGGTTAATGAGCAGAGCTTTCAGACCACTGTTGTGTGGCCTCGTGACTGCGAATATATAGCTATATTATTGTTGTGGCAGCCCTGTTACTTCATCATTGTGTTTCCTTGCAGATGAAACCATCGTGCCTCCAGATGTTCCAAGCTACCTCTCCTCTCAGGGAACCCTTTCTGACAGACAGGAAACTGTGGTCAGGGCTGAGGGTGGTCATCAGGCCAGTGGGCACATGGAAGGCAATGGTAAGCTCCAGAACAGTGAAACAGTCTGATCCAGCTGTGTCGGGGACACAGCTTTACCTCCTCCCTGGGGTAGACCTGGGGCGAGCATGTGGTGAACCAGGTCTTGGACTGACAGATGTTTTGCTTTGGATCTGGTGTGTACAAGTTCTGCGGTTTTACCATCTGGTTTGCCAGAAGTCCCTGCACAGGGCTTAGCGCTGTGTCTCCTAGTCAAGGTGGGACTGCCAGGAAGCGTAGATGCAGAGGACGTTCCAGATCCCAGACCAGCTTCCCAGTACTGTTGGTGCTTTACTTGTGCTGGTTCAGACAACCACAGGTTGGAAATATTCGGGAAAGGAAAGTTGTGTCTGTACTGACTATGTATGGCGGTTTTCATTGTTACTGGGTACTAGGGGTAGAGACGACTCAAGGTCTATCCGAGAAGGTGTACAGTTGATGTGCAAACAGCATCATTCACAGAAAGGACCTGACCATCCTTGGATTCGGGCATCTCCGAGGAGCATAGGAACCAATCCCTGTTGGATGCTAAGAGATGGGTGCTGCGACAAAGCTGTAGCCTGTCCCTTCGGCTGAGAGACCTGAGAGGTTTCTAAATTGTAAGGGGCTCTATTTCAGGTGTGTGTCTGAGAGACTCGAGCCTCTTCCCAGAGGTCGACGTGCACAGCATTACATGCCGGCAGCCCAAGCTGTGTGTTGGATACACTAGAGAGCCATGGAAAGTGATAGAGAAAGCCGACAGGACAGCTGCTCTGTATACAACAGGTAGGAGTCACTTGGATCAGGGAAAGCCATTGCTTTCGACACTGAAATCGGGGTTGACTTTAATAAATTAGAGGAGCAGCACGTCCCTGACTCATACACTCTCTGAATTGTATTCAGAAGACAAACTGGAAGCTCTGGCTTCCTTCGATTTCAGCCTCCTGTGTCTCTTAGGTAAGCCTGTGATTTGGTGAGCACTTACAGGCAAGGCCCACAAACCATGGAGGGAGCATCCTTGCACCCGAACAGTCTTGTCTTGTTCAGATAAGGTTTCACTTTGTAGCCCAGGCTGTCCTCAGCCTTCTGAAATGCTAGGATAACAGGCATGGGCTACCATGCCCCACCATTGGCCAGAGGTTGGTGTCTATCCCTCAGTCACTCTCCACCTTAGGTATTGAGCAGGGCCTCTCACTGAAGCCCAGGGTTCACTGATCAGTTATTCTAGCTAGCCAGCTTGCTCCAGGATTTCCAGCCTCTGCTTCCCAAGCCCCAGATGACAGGTGGGCCACCACACTGTCCTGGGGACCTGAACTCTGATCCTTATGCTCATCAAGCACTTTACCTGCTGAGCCACCTCCCCAGTCCAGCTACCAGGAGTCTTAGAGGCTTAATGTCTAATTGTTCCCAAGATCTGCCCCTGTGTGATGCCTAATGCAAATCTTCCCTATTACCTTCCCCTGCGTCAAAGGAAAATTTGAAATTCTAAATCAATTTCATGTGGACATTGAGCACAAAAGACCAGGACTCTGCATGTGTACATTCCAGGGAGGGAGAGGGTGGTTACAGAGGCAGTGGAAAACAGGACTCAGCTTCCAGTTGGGCCTCTGAGTGGGGCTGGAGACTTGAGTGGCTCTGGGTCCAGTTGACCTTTGGCTCTGCTCTTCATTCAGCACACGGTGGCTCCGCTGTATGCAGTGACTGTAACACCGACACGGACATTCAGCCCAAGGAACAAGCCCTCCACCCCCAGCCTGTGTCCAGAGAGAGTGGACAGCCAGGACCACCAAGCAGCCAAGAGCTCAGGCAGCATGATGGAGACTGTTCTCCACACCATCCTTACACTGGGACTGCTGATGGGTCTCCCACCCACTCTGGGGGAACACTCTATCCGAGTAACCACGACAGAATAGTGCTGTCTTTGAAGAAGAGGGCGGCACCCCCAGGTGGGAAAGGTAAGTGTTGTGTTGGAGGCGTGTCTGGGTGGGTGGGAGCCCTGAGGGGTGTGTCCAGGCTGACGTACCCTCTTGTTTTTCACAGGAGATTCCTCTTGGACTTTAGCAAAGTTACATGAACCAGACTCCATAGACTTACAGCCTTCTCCTACGTTAACGTCAGTCAGCCCAGAGCTCACAGAAGATGCCGTATCTACTGAAGCCCAGCACTTGCTTGTTTCCAATGGCCACCTCCCCCAGGCCTGTGACTCTAGTCCTGAGTCTGTGCCACTGACGGGACAGCTCACTGGGAAACGGAGAGGACCACTGCTCTTGGCCCCGAAAAGCTAGGCTTCATCTACCTCAGCTCTGTTAAAGCAATCGCTGCAGGAAAGAGGTAGGAGAGGCCGTGGGAAGTTGGTGTCCAAACGTCACTCTGGACACGGTTTTAACTTCCGTGTGGAGTATCACTTGACTAAAGGACTTGGCATCTGGAGCACAGAAATGCAAGAGACTATTTGTGTACAAAAGGCAGGAAGAGTATTTGATACCACTGTACATAAGAGTTTTCAGAGATTTCATATATATTCTATATCTTTTACAGAGACTATTTTAATCCTTAGCGCATGGGCCCCGCTTTCAGTGATATTTCCACATTAGGTTGCTATCTAATTTTGGAGAGGGTCAGGAATAGTTTTGGTGCCTTAACGCACAGCTGAAATTCAGGTAAAGCCACATTAGCTGTTGCTCGTGGTTGGAAAGGAGGGCATTTTGGCTATGTGCTCACTTAGTCAGGTTCAGGTGCATTGTTCTGGCGGCCTCACTGCAGAGCTGGGGTGCATGCGTCACTTGCCTTTCTTCTGGGTTCAGGGTCTGTTTCTGAAGAAGAGGTTGAGGGTTGTTAACCCACCAAAAGCAATGGTTCAGAACAATGGAGCATGGCCTTTTGTCTTTCTTTGTAACTCACTCGGTAAAAGCAAATGTCTTGTCTGTCTCCTTCAATGGGTCTTTGACGCTTATTAAGGCAGAGGCTGCCAGTGTTGGTACATCTGTGGATTTTCAATAGTGAGGGATAGTTCTGCCAGCACCGCATTGCAGTGGGGGATAAAAGGAAGAGTCACTTCTAGGCCTGTCCACCATGTTCCCTTGCACAGTGAAACTGGGCTTGGACTGTACAAGACTGAGTCTCAGGCCTGGGTCTATTTGCACTTTGGGGCCCTGTTGCTAACCATCTTGTGAGTGCCAATGTATAATTCAGTAAAGACTACATGGAAACAAACTCGGTCCTTACAGTCCCTGAGAGCTGGAGGGCAGTGATGGCCAGGGTCACAGTGTACTGTCATGTCATAGGTCATCACTGCGCTCCAGGACAAAGCACAGTCAGACGTTTCTTCTCCACAGTTGGCTGATTAATGTTACTTCCACAAAATATGTGAATTTGCTGCTTCTGAGAGGCAATGTGAAAGAGGAAGTATTACTTTTTATGTACAGAGTTATTTATTTATAGAAATTTTGGTACAATGTACATTGAAAACATGTAAGATATGAAGTGTCTAACAAATGGCATTAAAGTGTCTTTAATAAAGGTTCATTTATAAGTACCAAGTGTGTGCTGTGGTCATTGTTCTAAGTACACTTACTCTGCTTTTAATAATATTTTCCCCCACAAGGAGAATACTTAAGACAGAGCATCGCAGGCTATACACTGTTGCCCCAGAAGACACGGTGGTGCTACATTCCTCAGATAGCTCACTGATTTTTTGCCACCTGGAGCTGGTTAGTTCAGCCTTATGCTCCCCAAATATGCTGACCCTCCCACCTCCTGCAGCCAGTGTTGCTTGCACACACTGAGGGAAGGAGCAGCTCTAGACGGTCCTCCTGGAGGACAGTGGTGGCTGTGGGCCTTCCTTTCCTCAGCCATGCGCTTCCCTCAGCCATGCTCCTGACTGAAGTCACTTGGGCCCACCCACTCGCTGGGACTGCAGCTGTCCACTGTCTCACACACTAGGCATTTGGGGGCACTGTGCTGTGAAATAATATAATCGTGTGTTTTTATAGGAGAAATACGAGGGTAATTAAAAACAGCAGGCTCCTTACCAGAAAGAATGCATGCTATGCACCTGCAGTGCATGCTTTTTAAACAAAGCTATAATCTTACAATAGGAATTAGCCCAGGGGAGAAACACCCACGCGTACAATTTCTGCCCCAGCCTCCTTCCTTTCCCCAGTCTACTCGTTCGCTTCCAGTTGCAGGCAGCTTGCTTTTTAGTGACTAAACAGAGAGCAGGAAGCAGAGGACAATGACCAAACAAGAATGCCGAAGGGCCTGGCCTAAGCTCACCAAGAGGATTTATTGAGGGGTCTGAGATGCTGATCCGAAGGCCCACCCAGGACAGCTTCCTCGGGCAGCCTGTGCCTTGGACGACACTCAGGGCTGCACTCCTTAAGGCACCACGCTGCAGCGTCAACTTCCTTGCTTGGATGACTGAGCCAGTCACGGGAGGACAGGGATTGCACAGCAGTCCTCTTCTCCAAGGACGCACAGTGTCCACTTCACGGGCTCTTCCTGCCCACTTCTAACAGCAAGCTGCGGGTCTGGTCATAGGCACCCAGAAAGATGAAGCCTCCCAGACTGATTGCTGCCATTCGTGGGAAGACACCTGCAAATAACCTAGGGACAGAAGCCATGGTTTGCTCACTTCAATACACTACTTGTCAAACCCTATAGAAGACCACGAAGTAACGTTCCCAAGTATGAGTGAGAAACTAGAGCCCAGTCTAGCATGGCCGAAGGCTGCATTGCCTACCTGGAAACACTCATGTTAAGACAGTAACCACTGTCCTAACAGCTGTGCTCTAAAAACAGAGTCAAGGGATGAATCTGAGGTAAGGGTATATCCCAATGGGACACCCGAGGGGCGTCTGTGTCTCAGTTCAAGGAGGAAAGGAAGTTCTTAAACAATTCTGCTACTTTCTTGTCCTGGTGACTCAGCTGCATTTTGTTGGAGTTTCACAAATATGATTCTACAAGAAGGAAATGAATCTTTGTGGATTCTTTTTTCCTTGTTCAGTCTACATGAGGACACCAGAGGCACATGACTGTGATGGAGGGGGAGCACCTCACACATGCCAGTCCTGGACACTCAGGTGCCCCATCCCAGTCCAATCAGAACCACAGTGGTGATAGCGAACCATTCTCTAGATCAGTGGTTCTCAACCTTCCTGATGCTGTGACCCTTTAATACAATAACTCATGTTATGGTGGCCCCAAACCATAAGATTATCTTCCTTGCTACTTCTTAACTGTAATTTTGCTATTGTTAGGAATGAATCATAATTTAAGTATCTGTTTTCTGATGGTCTTAGGCAACCCCTGTTAAAGAGTTGTTCATCCCTCCAAAATAGGTCAGGACTCACAGGTTGAGAAACACTGCTCTAGAGCTCTGGTATTCTTCAAATATCCATTGGACACTGTATGGTATTGTGTTGTCTTTGAGTTTTTTGACTGCTGAGGAAGGAGCAACAGCTGCTAAGAGGCAGATTATAAATGCTGCTTGATTAAACCAACCTATGTATTTTGAATATGTCTTGACTTCAAAGTGAAAGTCAAAAGATACATTACTTTGGAAAAGAGATTCTGCTTTTATTTCCATAGAAAATAAAAGACTATGAATTCTTCAAAGTTAGCTGAAGATGATCAGGTTTGATTGAGGAAGACCCCCTGAAATCCTGACTACAAATAAAGAAATAAACCTATAAGAACTACAAGAACCTATAAGACACATGATGTATATTTTGCCTGCTTAAACATAAAACAAAAATCATCTTTGGCTGACTTGTGTACAGTGCACAATCCGTACTTGTATTAATGCACATATGTATGTTACCTTTAAAAGTTGATGTATTTTCAGAATAAGGAGACCAAACACCAATGAAAACAAATGACCCAGATGATCCAGCATCTCAAATGCCTCTGCTGAAGTTTCCTTGGAGTTCCTCATCCTGAACAGCTTCAAGGCTGCTGGCTCAGATGGTACACAAACTACTCCAGCCAAGACTTAACCATAATTCTAAATTTTCTCAGGGTCTAAAATTTCCCAGTGATTACCAGACCCTCAATCAACAGAAAGTAGTCTAGAGAACTATGCCCACATTCCCAAAAGATGAGTTATGGATATTTATTAGCATTTAAGGGGGGTTGGTTACAAGATGTTATTAGTAAACAAGAAAAAAGCTGAACAAAGGAGATTAGATTCAAGGATCTCGTTTTCAAAAGAAAAGGGGGAGTATAGAAATGGGATAAAAAGGTAGATTACTGAATCTAATCAAAAAAACATTCTTAAATATTTTACACTGGTATGGATTTTGATTTATTGTTAAAAATTTGAAGTTAATTTTGTTATACTGTATATTTCTACTCTTGTTTAAGGTATTGTGTTTATGCAGCTCACTTAAAAATGTAATGTATCATTAAATACAGATTAATAGTCATCTATAATAATCAACTTTAGTCATGTTAGATATGTTCTCAAGTTCATATATTTAGATTGATAGATGGTCTTCAAACACTTCAAAGACCTACAGAATATGACATTTAATATGTTTAATAGCCTAATACTTTTAATGACAGTGAGACGCGTCTGCTCCTGGCAACACCAATCTACTTCAAAGAAGATGATGGGCATCAAAGAAACTCCACTTGGAGTTTGTTTTCTTTATGGCAAAAGCTAGTCATGTGGGGAAAGAAACTGCCCTTGCCTCAATTGCTGATAATATACTGTCCAAACTGGACCAGTAGGATGCAAGAAAGGTGACTGCCCAACTTTGCCAAGAAAAGGTAGGACAGTCCTTCAAAAATCCTGCTTCTCAAAAGTGTCAGATATTCTAGGCATGTAAGCCAGAGTTGGATGCATCAATGTTACAGTGGAACTGTGGGTCTAGACAGCCTGTGGTCCCTGTCATTAGGTAATATTTCATCCTTCTGGGGTCTTTGGTAGAGTTAAAGACTAAATAGTTAGATAATAGAGTATTTTCTCTAATTTTGCCAAATACAAATAGACTGGATATTGTAACTGTAATTCTTTATAACTGTTTTTGTTGTATATAATTTTATTATGTTAAAGTTAAAACCTTCCTTTTAATTAGACAAAAAGGAGGAAATGCTCTGGAATAATCCTTCTGTACACTGTGTGACTATATGTTGTTATGATTGGTTTAACAAACAAGCTAACTGGCCAATAGCTGAACAGGATAAAGTTAGGTGAGAATGATGGGATGAAGAAGGACAGAGTCAGAGGATTCACCAGACAGCCAGAGAATGAGTGGAACACACAAAATGGGATAGAGGCAAAAGCCACAAGCTTCGGGGCAGCACATAGACTAATAGAAATGAGTTAAGTTTTAAGAACTAGTTAGTAATAAGCCTGAGCTATTGGCTGAACATTTATAATTTATATTAAGCCTCTGAGTGATTATTTGAGAGCAGCTGCAGGACACAGAAACTTCTGCCTACAGCTTTTGCCTATGAGAACTAAAAGCAAGATCTGCCTCCAATCTACTCTGAGAGCATCAGGTTCTTTGGTGGTGGGGGCTGCTGGGATATGTGCAGACTTGGTCAGCTTAGTGCAGGGCAGGAGACAGACAGTGGTGGCTGTATCTGGAGCTGCAAGAGGAGGTGGACTGAGCCACCTGTTCAGGAAGGGGGCAGTTGTTTTCATTTGTTTCTTTGTCCAATCATTTATTGTCTCTGAGTAGAAGGGCTGGAGCTGGTGTATGTTCACTCATAGGTATTGTTGCCTGGAACATGCTGTTCAGTGATGCCCTGTACAAGGTGACCAGAGTCCAAGAGTGGAGACTCAGAAGATGAGCCAAAAATCTAAATTAACTTTCAGTATTAAGGCTGGGTCAGAACAAACACACACCCTTGACCTGTTCTGCTTTCTCTCTTCTGCTTGTAGTTCTGGCATTGCTTAGTTTTAGCCAAGTGTGTGTCGTGACCTGGACAGGGAAAGCTGGTCTTGCATCATCTACAAAGCAGTGGCCGTGGTGGGGCACTGCCCCATCCACCCTGCCATCTCTTGTCACCACTTTCTCAACACGGGCAAATGGGCTGCAGCTCTACAACACTGGTCAGAGGCTCGGCTAAGTCACCGCAGAAGCTAATATGTGGAAACAAGACTGAAATCTGGCAGGTGGCCTTCATGGTGTCGAAAGCCACTGTCACCAGCTGCTGCTTCTGTGGGCCAGCCACCGCTTACCTAGGAGGCTTCCCAAATCATGCATATGGTACTCACAGCCCAATTGAGGCCAACCACTGTGGAATAGACAGTACAGTCATGACCTAGGTAATGCTTCAGAGAAAACCATATAGACTGCATATACCAGACTGGTCCTGTAGGATGATGGCGTGGCGGGACACTCCCCCCCCATATCTCTTTTTCTATTTGTTTATCTCCAGATACACAAGTATTTACTACTGCTACAACTGTCCACAATCTCCAGGGTAGTCACATGCACTAGCAGCTAGACGCCATATTCCCTGAGTGTTTCTGCGCAATGACAAAATTATCCACCAATAAAATAACACCTAGAGATGCACACCACATGCCCATCATAAGGCCTGGCCACCAATGGCTCTTAAAAGTGGTTACAAACACCCACGCCCCAAACACTTTCTTCTACCTCACTTGCCTGTCTACACTGTATAAGTAGGGGCTTATTTGTATCAATGCTGCAGCCCCAATACTGCTGAGGGTCACACATTTGCATGTCATCCATGGCAGGCACAAAGACTTGAGGAAGAGCCAGTGGAGAAGAGGCAAGGAAGGCAGCTGAGGGCTGGCTTTGTCCTTACCCCGCTAGTCCCTGTGAGCGCCACACCCCGTGCATGGCAGAGAGCACGTTCCCATCAGCAGTGCTGGAGCCCGCCTGCAGAGGACAGGGAAGGAATAAGGCTGTTACCCCCTAGTGCTCTGAGAAGGCTCCCCTCACCCTCGTTCAAGGCACGCTCTGAGGTTGACTTGGACATCTTGCCTACATTCAGGCAGGCAGCTCAGGGAAGCCCTTTCTCAGAGCTCACCTAGGAACTAATGGCAACTGTTCAACAGGAAGCTGATGGGAAGCAGCAGGCCTGGCCTGGTGGGGGTGAGGGTTCCACGTATAAATGGGTCTAACTATAAAGCCTGACAGGGATGAAGAATGCCGCTCTCAGTTTTAAAAGGACCCCATCCTCAGGGCTATGGACTAGAATTCTGCTCACACTGCTCTGCTTTCTACAGAACTGGACCTGAGAGAATGCATGTTCAGATATGTTACTGGAATTCCTTAAAGCTCAGCCCGGAGTTTGCTTTGTTGTTTTTTCTTTTTAACAATTCTGACAATTGCCTTAACTGGTCATAGCCAATCATGACTGAGGAACATGGAACTAGTCAAGCTCTCGAGTCTTAGATCTGAAAACACACCAGGCAGGAGCCCTCAGATCTTATTAGCACAGCTGTGAGAATGCTAGTGCAGTGGACGTGTGCTACACACAGACCCATCACACCGACGGCTACAGATGTGCAGCAGTCATGACAACGCTACTCTTCTCATGTCAGTAGTACTGATGGCCCGGCAGGTCCAGGGGTCGCTGTATCCCTCAACTCTGCCTGCTGGCAGCCATGGCATCAGATCTGCACTAGCTGACACTTACCTTTGCCAGCATGATCCTTGTCTTAGCCACATCCAGAGGGGTAGTAACTGCAGCTGCAAAACCACCTGTGTGCAAGACCCAACAGTCAGCCATGAGCTGTATGGACTAGACAGTATCCTTGTCGCTTCTACATCTGGGTTCAGAGAATGTTAAAATCATTTCTTCGTCATCACGTCGACTTGACTGTGTTGAGAACAGGATGCATACATGACAAATTTCAATCTACCCAGTTCATGTCTTTTGCAGTGATACAGCAAGGAGGTGGAGGATACTCCTTTTCCACTTGGGTTAAGAAGTGAGGCCCTACAACTCACCTTGCTCTCTCACAGCCTGGTACACTAATCTGAACACATAGGACATGTGAACGACCAGATGTGGATCTCCAGTGTGAGAAACACACGGCTCCCAGTGGCTTTGGGGAACATACCTTTCTAAGGCTACCTGTCTTACAGCCTCCATAGGCTTCGGTTGTTTCTGTTCTGCATGGGCAGGCTCATGTGTGTCTCAGAAAGACTTCTGTATAAACAAACAGCCGGACTCTTCTGATAACAGACAATGCTTTCTCTATTCCCAGGCTCGAATGACAGTCCAGGGAACAGTTCCGTTTCTACCCTTTGCATCACCTTCGAGTTCCTCTTGCTCTGGCATGCATTCTGCCTCAAGGATTCCTTTCCATATTCTCCCCATGTTTTCTTCATCTAAGGACTATGATGGCCAAACTGTCCATAGCTTTCAACAGTGTTCCTATTTGTAGACACAGAAACCAAAACTTTACTGCTAATATAAACTACAGTTTATGATCTCAAAAGGTTTTGTTTGTTTCCTTAAGACAAGGTCTCATTGTGCTCCCAGAGCTAGCCTGGAAACTGCTATGTAGATCAGGCTGGCCCCATACCCACAGAGCTTGCTTCCACCTCCTTGTCCTGGGGTTAAAGGCATGTGACACCACCACACCAGGCCTGATGTCAGTATTTTAGTCACTTGGTGCAGATGCAGATGAACCCCTGAAAGGCCAGAAGGACAGAGAAACAAAAACCCCTAAAAGGCTTTTGGGAGGTTCAGCTCCCAGGAGCTGGGGATGAGCAGCAGATTATGGGGGTTTGCAAAGGAGGCTCCAGAAATAGCTCCAGGCTCCCTCTGCGGTGGCATGTGGACAAAAGGGCATTTGATGTCTGACAAACATCTTTCTAAATACGGGGCTGAAATAAGGTCGTCACAGTGACCCTGGGCTGCACAGGGACATCTGTTCAGACACTTGTGGGAAGGCACACCCACTCCCCGTTTACGTTCTATTTTTGGTTACCACAACTGCCACACACCTTAGGCCTGTCAGCACCCCCTTTGTTTAGAACCCTTCCTTTTCGTCCTTTGAGATTATGAGTTTGTGGGCCAACATGATGGCACAGCAAGTCAAGAGCGTCTGCCACGAGTCCAATGCCCAGAGTGAGAGGCCTGGAGACACATGGCGGAAAGACAGAACTGACCCACGAGTGCCTTGACTCCCCAGGCACATGGCATGCACATGCCTTCACCCACCACCACACACTACAGTGAGAGAAATGTAAAGCACTTTAAAAGGCTCTGCTCAGTGCAGAGCTGAGATCTGTTCTTAAGCTTGACCAACTCCAGCACTTGGCCCTGGTCCCTGCTGCCTCAGATGCTCATCTGTGAAGTGCAGGCAGCCGTGTGACAGATTCTTTTTGTTAAAGGGCCCATGCCAAGTGTCTAAAGTGGCGTGACCCACACACAGGAGCACTATGTAGGAATCTGTTCCAGTCCAGGCAGGCACTGTGTTGGTTAGGTTTTGCTAACACAAGATGGAGTCGTCTAGAAAGAGGGAACTACATTAACTGAGGAACTACCTCCACAATAATTGGCTTGTAGGCAAGTCTGATTTTCTTGATTAAGGACTGATGTGGGGGGTACCACCCTTGGATAGCTGGTTGGTCCTAGGCTGTATGGAAAAGCAGGCTTGAGCAAGCCTGTAAGGAGCATCCCTCCAGCGCCTCTGCTTCAGTTCCTGCTTTGAGTTCCCATCATGACTTTTCTTCAGGATACACTATAAGCTGAAATAAACCCTTTCTTCCCCAAGTTGCTCTTTGGTGTTTATCACAATAGAAAATAAACTAAGACATGGGTAGAGAGACTGGGTGATTTTCCTTCCAATCTCAATCTAGCGCACACAGTAGGCACTCAATATGCTTAGTGGGTGCCCCACACAAGTCTATGGTTTTAACAAACTAAACATGTAAGCTCATCCTGTAAAAGGGCAGGGAAAGGTTGGCATGAATGCCACCCCTTGCTAACTTGCCAGGATCTCGAGAACTACGCCTGTACCATCACTAGCATCCACCTATGGCCACAAAGCAGCTAGCAATGAGCTAGGAATGAGATCACATGTATCCTGACCCCTAAAATGATCTTATCACACCTAAGGACTGATACCACAACTCATTAAATAAAATAAGCCTGAGCATTAAACTTCATCCTCCTATGTAAAAATATTCACAAGCTGCCCTAAATAATTTATAAAGCTGACAACACATAATAAATTTGGATAGCTAAGTCAAACTTGCCCTGGCCACCAGTGGAGGTTAACCATCCCTTCCTGTGGACACCTGCATATCCTCCAGAGATCTGTGCTCCATAAAAGAGTCCAAAAGAAAGATGAACTCAAAACACACAGGTCCTTATTGTACTTCCATGCTGAGATCAGTATTTTATGTAAGGCATTAGTAAATCAATTTGAAGACCCTCAAATATCGGACTACTTATTTTGTATAGTCTACTCACAGGACAACCATAAGGAACACACTAACACATCACAGGAAACAGCCATGGGGCACACACAGCAGACATGGGCTGCTCTCGTGTGTACCGTTCTCCTCAGGGGGCTTCACGGACTGCCCAGCTACAGCTTTTGGGGCCACATTCATGGAACTGATTTTCACAGGAAAACTACTTGCTGCCTTGGGGTACAAACACAATAATAACCCTCTAATGGGTGAAGGAACCCCCTTCTTTCTGACAGCCTGGAGCTGCTCCCTCAGAGCGAAGCTAGGAATGTTGAGGAGGGCACTGAGGAGGAGGCCCCAAGCCCACCCCCGGCAGCTCGGCTCCTCTCTGCTCCTGGAGCCTCATACCTGATGCATTCAAGAGCAAGGGCTCCTTCCTGTCCTCCTCCCCCTCAGGCTCCAAGCAAGGCTCCAGTGAGAGACTGTGCCGGTGGCTCTCACCTTTGTCTCACCCACAATCCTCATCCTCTTCTACAGCTCAGGGGTGAGAGCCTCCTCTCGCCCCGTACTTTCTCTCTTAGGAGAATATAAGGATGTTTGTAAGTATAAGAAATTGGCCAGGTGGCGGTGGCGCACGCCTTTAATCCCAGCACTCAAGAGGCAGAGCCAGGTGGATCTCTATGAGTTCGAGGCCAGCCTGGGCTACAGAGATCCAGGAAAGGTGCAAAGCTACACAGAGAAACCCTGTCTTGAAAAACCAAAAAAAAAAAAAAAAAAAAAGAAAGAAATTGATCCAAAGATACCAGAAGACCAAAATAGTAGTAAACATTAATACTCAACATCGTTAGATTTAAGATCAAGGCCTGGAGTGAGAAAGCTGGCAAAGTCCTTCTTTTTCCTTACTTTAACCCTGACCAGAAGCCAGGGGAATTTCTAAGCATGACAAGCCATCAACACCTCCAATCTCAAGAGACATTTGTGGGTATTTGTGCCAAGTAGCTTATGAAACAAGCATGGGCACAGAAGAATGCGCCGAGGATGGCACAGCACAGTCCTTGGCAATACCCAGGCCAATTGAAACTTGGAAAAGCGCATGTGGATGAACTCTGATCTCTGACGTGAGGGCAAGTTTGATCATGAAGAGCAGGGAGTTGGTAAGGCAGTGTGTGGATGTCTGGACAGGGCTGTGGGTAGGAGGCCATTCTTCATCTCCCCGACTGTGCAAGACTGGGCTGCAATCTGCTCTTGCAGAACACCGATTGACTCAATTTGGACTGTTTTCAAATTATGTTTATCCTACAGCAATGTTTTCAAAATATTCATCTTGTTTTTCTAACGTTAGTATCAAACAAAATTTCCAAAGAAAAAGAATATAAACAAGAAATATATTTCTTTTCTGCTAATGTATAAAGATCTGTTAACAATGCACCCCCGCCCCCATAGGCCTGAAACTCTTTCATTAACAGAATCTCACCTGAAAACAATAAGATGACTGGACAGAATCTACAGGCTCAAATAAGAAACTATGCTGTACAATGCCTTCAGATCATGACATCTTCTGGTGCTGTCCCAGAGATGAGTTATTATGGGGACAGCTTTCCGTTTTGGGGTGTTGCTTTTTCTTCTGGAAAAGTAACAACTCCTTACAGCTGCTCAGTTTTACAGGTCACGAGGGCCAACGCACGTATCATGGGCTCCCTCGAGGGAGGAGTGATTATTTCTATGCTACAGGTCAGGAAACTGGTGCTCAGAAAGCCCAGGTCTCCTCCAGGAACTGGCCTAAAGCAGAGACTCATCCACTCATCTCATCTGTCAGACAGAAAGCCCAGCTAGGCTCTGAGCACTGTCTTCCCAGCTCAGCGTCACAGCATCCTCCGTGATTCACTGCCTTCCTGAAGGGCCCGGATGGCGGGTTCCTACCACATCCCACAGGTGACAGAAACTGTCCTCTTCCCTCTGACAAATGTAAGTGCCATGCAGAGCACTCCTCGGCAAAGAGGACGTATAGAAAACAAACTCCCAAATAGATAGTATCCATGTTTCTGCATGTAAATCTCTAGAATCATGATTTGAAGGCTGTCTTAGGGTTTCTATTGCTGTGAAGAGACACCAAGACCATGGCAACTCTTACAAAGGAAAACATTTAATTGGGGCTGGATTACGGTTTCAGAGGTTTAGTCCATTGTCATCGTGGCGGGAAACATGGCAGCATGCAGGCAGACATGGTGCTGGAGAGGGAGCTGAGAGTTCTACATCTTGACCCACAGGCAGAAGGAGACTGGGCATAGCTTGAGCATAGGAGACCTCAAAGCCAGCCTCCAGTGACACACTTCCTCCAACAAGGCCACACCTACTCCAACAAAGCCACATCTACTCCAAGGCCACACCTATTCCAACAAGGCCACACCTATTCCAACAAGGTCACACCTATTCCAACAAGGCCACACCTATTCCAACAAGGTCACACCTATTCCAACAAGGCCACACCTATTCCAACAAAGTCACACCTATTCCAACAAGGCCACACCTAATAGTGCCACCCCTATGGGTCAAGCATTCATACACATGGGTCTATGGAGGTGCATTCCTATTCAAACTACCACAGAGGATATACCAGAACATGCTTATTTCTTACTTGAAGGCAGAGAAGCTTTAGAGTATCCTACTCTAAGAAGTGGTTTTTCTTGTCCAGGGTGAATAAATTTCCATGTTTATTCAGTGTTCCACCCCCAACACCTCTGCCCCAGCCAAGAAGACAGTCAACAAAAATGCACACTTCTCCAAAGGGTGGGGCAGCAAAGAATCCTGACCTCTGAAAGATGAATCAATACCCCTTCATTAACCCCACCACCTACGATGCAGGTGTAGAAGCTATCACCCTCCCTGATCTGCAGGAAAGTTCTTATTTCTGATAGTTCTACAACTTACATAGGTTTAAATTATTAACAAATGAGCCAATAAAATGTATGATTTCTGTTTTCCTAATCACTACATGAAAACAAACAAAATCCACCAACTGTTCCAGATATTTGGAAGAGAATCATTTTCCCCAAAGCTGCTGACCTACCTCCAACCTACCTGGCCATCTGTTCACCAGCACTGCATCTAAACACTTTGCAATTCTCTGGCCAAGTTCTGCTTTTACTGCAACTATACTTACCTGTATTTGTAATGACAAAACAGACCTTTCTCTTCAGCTTCTGAACATGCCTACCATTTACTACATTCTTTAAAGCATCTGTGTCCTCAGCACTTAGTGACGGACAGCGCGGTCCTGCGTGCTGACACACTGCTCCTGCTGTAAGGTCTCGAAAATGCCCAGATGTTCACAGGCCATACTTCTCGCCCAGTGCAGTGCAGGCTGCAGTCAGCTGGGAGTGGCCCCTGCTCTCCCGATACTAATTAATCTCCTGCACTGTCAAACATGTCACATGGGCTGTGAATCTTGGATTGCCCGCAGCACTGCGCCCACCAGACAGCTGCACAGTGCCCCCCCCCACACACACACAGAGGGCTTTATAAATCATGCTTAAAATAAGCCAAGGGCCCGAGTGAGGCTTTAATAAAGATAAAAAGAAAAAGGGAAATTTGTCAAAAACAAATTGGTTGTCCTTCAACCAGACACCTCTTTAGCAGGTTCCCCCCCCCTCCTCTAAGATAATTTCTTTTTGCAAACAGCTAGTGCGGCTCTGTCCATCTAAACCATCCGGAACTCCTGAGGAATGCTGTTCTGCACAGCTAGCGTTTTCACAGGTCCCTCCCCCCCCACACACACACACACTTCGGTTTTTCCCAGTATAATATAATCCCTCGCACCTGCAAAAGCTCCGCAGACTGCTGACTGCCAAGAATCCACCACATGACCCCGCCGCCACGACCAGAGGGCCTGTGGAAAGAAAAAGAAAAATACAAGTTATTCCATCTTTGAGTTTATCAGAACCTGCTGTGGGTTTAGCTTGGGATGGGAACTTAAGTGAGAAGCTATTTTGGTAGAATTCTTCAGTGATGATGTAAGTGATTTTCCCAAGGACTTAACTGCATTCTAAAATTAGTCAAAGAAGTAAGGGTGACAGCCACATTATGATTCTCAAAGGAAATATTTTCAAGGAGGATTTCATACACACAAATTAAAATAAATATAATAAATTTATGACAATGAAATATTTTATGTATTTCTCATATAATTCTAAGCATACTATAATTCATAATTATTCCAGAACAGTATATGCCAAATTCCTTAGTTCTTTGAAAAATTCTTATCCATACCTAACCTTTGAGAGATACTAGCTGTTACCTGAGCGGTACTTTAATGGAAGGGGGGCACACTTTGAGACAGAGTCTAATGATAATCCAGGCTATCCTTGAACTCAGATCATCCTTTCCCAGTCTCCTTAGTGCTAGGACTACAGGTGTGTGCCTCCGTGCCTAGCATGAATTTAGAATTAGTGAAAACCTGATTGTGCTGTTCACATAATAAGCCAGGATCATACAAACACCCACACCAGGCGTAGGCTGGGAATGTGGCAGACAAGGTGCTTGGCTCCCTGGACACTTACTGCCTTGTGGAAGAGAAGACTGCATCTGCACAATGCTTAGTCTCTCATCTTCTGGTCTGCGGTCTTCTCAACAACTCTAGGAGTAGGATCCTATTCTATCTAGGCTTCTGAGGCACAGCCTTCCATAATACTCTTTTCCTTCGCTTTACTGAGGTACCATCTAATAAACAACATATACTTCAAGTATACAATTTGATAAATCTGGTGGACACATACACACATAATCACTGCTACAGCTGAGACCACAGACTTACTTATGAGCCAAAAGTTCTGCATCCCTTTGGGAACGTCTCTCCTGAGCGCCATCTCACTGTCCTCTAAGCAACCTGATACTCCTGTCACTGCGGACTGGTTTGCCTATTCTAGGATTTTATATAAATACAATACCATTCATTTTCTTTTCTATGGCTTCTCTTGTAACTATTCTGTGTTTCATCCACATTACAGACATCAAGACTTCATTCCCTTCTTGCTGACGAGCAATGATCTAGCACACAGGTACATCATCCTTTGTTTTTCTAGTTTGGGGATGTTGCTGATAAACCCATGTGAACATCTGCAAGCAGACCTTTAGATGGAAAATGTCTTCCCTTCTGCTCAGGAAATAACTAAGAAGGAAGTTGCTAGGTCAGAGGTAGGGGTATGTTTAACTTTATAAAGCTGCCAAGCTGTTTTCCAAAAATGGCTGTACATTTCGAATTCCCACCAGTCCTGATTTGTCCACATCCTTCCCAAGCTTGGTTGCCAGCATTTTTAAGTGTTCACATCCTAGTAAGTGTGCACTATGTTTCTGTTTTGTTTTTAGATTTTAAGTTGTGTGTGTGTGTGTGTGTGTGTGTGTGTGTGTGTGTGTGTGTGTGTCCCTTGGAGGGGATGGTATGAGCACAGGAGTATAGGTGCCCAGAGGTCAGATGGTGTCAGATGCCCTGGAACTGGAGTTTACAGGTACCTGTAAGCCACTCACGTGGGTGCCAGGAACCAAGCCTAGGTCTGCAACAGCAGTACATACTCTTAACCACCAAGTCACCTCTCTGGTTCCTTTACCATGGTTTTAATGATGGTGATCTTCTCTTTACATACTTATTTGCTATCCATGAATTTTCAAATATTTGTGTATTTTTATTGGGTTGTCTATTATCTAAATAAAAGATATTTCAAAGTTCTTGATATATTCCGAGTACAAGTTATTTGCAGATACTTTTCCCTAACCTGTGATTTATCTCTTCATTCTCTGGAAAATGTTTTTCAAATAAGCATTAAATTTTGATTAAGTCCAAATTATTTTTAAGATAATACACTATTCATATGTTAATATTCATATTATAGATGGAGGTGATTTGTTTGATTTTGCTTGAGACAGGGTCTCACTCTGTAGTTCAAGCTGACCTGGAACTTACTACATAGATCAAGGTGGTCTTGAACCGGTTTTAATCCTCCTGGCGCTGTCTGCTCAGTGCTGAGAACACTGGTGTGTGCCATGATGCCTGGATTATGAATCTTGCTTTCTGGTGTCATTTGTAAGAAAACTTTGCCTATTTCAATATGTTCAGAAATCTTAAGTTTCTTTAAAGGTTTTACATCTTTACCTTTGAGTTAATTTGTTATGGTAGAAGGCTGGGCCAGTGGTCTTTCATTCTGTTTGATGTATGAAAAACACCCACTATATCTAGTGTTTGAAAAATACAGTTCTTTCTCCAGTGAAATCCCTTCTCCAAAAATCTACTCTCTACTTGGTCCTCATCTATAGATGCTAATTCTTTACTTTCTTATCACAGGTTTTAATAAAGTTTGAAATTAAGTAGTTTCAGTTTTCCAGATTGTTTCTTTTTTAAGTTATTCTGACTATTCTAGGCTCTTCACATTTCCATATGAATTTTTATATCAGAATACCAATTTCCATAGAACACCCTGCTGAGAGCTCATTCAGCTTACATGAATCCATGGATTGTTTTTGGGTGAAATGGACACATTAACAATATTGATTTTTTTTTCTGACTATTTCATCATAAGCATTTACTTACTTTCCTATTGCTGTGAAGAGATACTCTGACTAAAACAACTCATAAAAGATAATGTTTACCGTGGCTCACAGTTGCAGAGGGTTACAGTCCCTGACCATCGTGGCGGGGAGCATGGCAGCAGGCAGGCATGGCAGTGGGACAAGAACTTAGAGCTTATATCTGATTCACAAGCAGGAAACAGAGAAGAGAGAACTAAAAGGGAATGGCATGGCCTTTTTGAAAGCTCAAAGCCCACCCCTAGTGTCAAACTTCCTCCAACAAGGCCACACCTCCTAATCCTTCCCAAACAGTTCCACCTGGGGAGGAAGTGTTCCAACACATGACCCTGTGTGGGCCATTCTCATTCAAGCCACCACAGTGAGCATCTCTCCCCTCACTTAGCCTTCCTGTAATTCCTCTCAACCCTGAGCTAGAGCTTCATAGGCTTTGACACTGGTTTTGTCAGATGCATTTTTAAGTACTCCACATGTCGTGGAGCTATGTGAAGGGTAAATTTTAATATGTAAATTTAATAGGAACTGATTATCAATACAAATGATTTTAGATATTTGTGTTCTGCATCACTGGCCACTCACTGGTTCAGCTCTGCTCCAGTGGAGACACCATCAACTTTCGTCAACTACAGTCAGACCTGCTTCTTCCTTTGTAACCAGAACATCTTACTGCTTTCTCTTGTCCCACAACAGTGGCCACACAGGGTACCAAAAGAGCTCCTGACTATCTTATCGTGAATGTTTACAATAGTATACTGACATGGAAGTAGTGTCGCTCTGGGGAAATACCCAAACAGCCCACATGAAATAGGAACAGCTGACCGGCATCCATCTCCCTCACAGGTATTTATTTCCCCACTGACAACTTCCTCTGGGAGGGTTACAGGACTGCTAAAGATCTGATGATGTCTAAAAATAAATCAAGATGCACATGGCCCTGTTTACCTTGTCAAGTGTAGGCTGCCAACATGGAATATCAGGTAAGATACATGCTGTTCTGTGATGGCTCCCTTCTTCCCAGCCCTCTGGGGAAGAGGAATTCTCTGAAAGTGTATTTACTAAATCTACTGTGCTAAAACTCGACCTATCAAACAGGCTCTTTAACCCTGCTTATAAAAACAAATAGACTTTAAGAATCTTTGATGCAAATTTGTTTCTAAAGTCTGTAGCTCTACAGAACAGAATTTGGTAGATTTTGAGGAAATGCTTTAATGTTTGAAAATGAATGTGTACCTTTGTGAAAAGCATTATTGTCTCCACTTCTCTATAAGCATCAGAGACCCAATGGGGCACAGTAAAGAGGAACAACTTTTATCTTTTATAACAGTCTTTATGTGTTTAGTCACACATTTGATAAAAATGTCACAAAGCATTCATGTTATATGCCCCCTCCCGTGTGTGTGTGTGTGTGTGTGTGTGTGTGTGTGTGTGTGTGTGTGTGCCTGACTTGCTCATGCTAAGCACGTGTTCTACTACTGAGCCACACACCCCCATTCCTTAACACCATCACTCACTTTACAGGCTGACTGGAGAAACGCAGACATGATCCACGTTTCTTAGTGAGGAGAGGTCATCTTCTATTCTTAGTCTTCTGACATCTAAAGAGGACATTATTCCAAACACTTGATTTACAGCAACAGTAAAGAACAAACAGGGAAAAGGACAGCGCAGAAGGAGAGGTCAAAGACACTATGGAGTTCATGAACGCAGCAAATGTTCAGGGACTGCCTCCCAGGGGTTTCTTGCAAGCTCAAGGGAAAAACAAAACCAAGAACAATCCGTGAGGGAGGTCTATACGGTAAGCAGTCAGTCGGGAGGAGGAGGGTTAGGAAATGGGAGTGGGGTTGGTTGTAGATGTAACCAATTGTATTATTAAAATAAGAAACACAGAGCCAAGGTAAAAGAGAAAAGCCGAGAGGTCAGAGCTCAGAGATAAAATCTTACCTCCTGCAGTGCTCCTAGCTTCCCCGAGAGAGAGAGAAAGAGAGAGAGAGAGAGAGA